GATAAGCCTGAACGACCAAATTCAGCATAATTATGGTTGGGCTTGGATATTCTTCAGACAGAATCACTTTTATGGCTTTGCATTCACCCTCCGAGAAGTCAAAATTCCGAGCAAAATGGCGCCAGTTCTCCATGCCTCGTGTTTCATGGTCCAGCAAAAGTGTTACTCTCTCCAAAACCTCAGGGTTGTCAAGAAGAGTTTGAACGGTACCATTTCCTTTAGTTAAGGGGAGAAAACTTAAAATAAATTTATTTCCTTTTTAACTTTGAAACGAACAACTTGGGGGCTCAGGCTGCACACGATTTTTTTTTAATTACCTTAAAGCGTATTCGTTCTCTGAGGCGAATGGTCATACGAAACGTGAAACACTTTAATTTTTTTAATGTTACCTGGAAGACGCTCCAGTTCTCTATGCACATCGTTTCTGTACATTTTCTTCAAGACATCTCCAAGATCTTGTAAAGACAGGTCAGGTTTGTTCGCTTTCAGTTTCTCTAGGACTAGTTTTGTACAGCTGGAAGGCGTCTTGATTTGCTGCAACGTTTCATCCTTAATTTTGCATTCTTTCCCCAAAGCTCTCCAGCCATTGGAAGAATGGTCAAGTTCAAGACAAAGTCTATCAAACGCTTCAGATTCGTTTTTACGGAAGTCTTCCAATTTTTCCGTTTCTATCAAGAGAGGGTCGGAAGTGAATTTAGCACTAGAAAAACCTTTGTCACTTGCCACTCCTACATACTTCAGTTAAAAGGCTAAAACAAAATGGAAAAAGCATAAAACAAACCATATTCCGATTGCAAAAGTGAAAATAGACTGAGCTACAATCTCGGCCAGTACTCTGGTTTATGGTGAGCAGAGATAACAAAATCCATGAGAGAGTATCCTTAAAATTAGTCGATACTGCATAAGTTCAAATGGTGTTTTCACCTAGAGCTTTACATACTAAGATATTACCACTTACCAGGCAAACTACATTGTTGTAGTTCTTTCACAAGATCGTTTCTTTGAATGTCTTGCAGCTTATCTCTGAGATCTCTGATGGAAAAATCAGGGCGATGTGCTATGAGATTTTCAAACATGCTTCTAGTGGGGCTATTCCCAGAACTCAAGTAGCATTTTTGTGCGACTTCTGGTGAAATGCGGAAAGCCTTACACAATTCTTCAAAGAGATGCTTCCAGTATTGTAAAAGAGGTATCACTTGTTTGCCATGACAGATTTGCTGATCTAATGCATGCGCGACCTCCGCCATAACCTGGACTCTGTCTACAATGTTGTCTTTTACCAGGGAATCTATAAATTGGAAAAAATATGCTATAATTTTCAAACATAAAACATGGTGAGAATTACTAACTGGTATCAAATGAAACCATGCTTGTAAGCACCTCTTTAACCGTTAGAGACCGGGCTTTTTTTTGGGGGGGGGGGGGTTTTGTTCCTTTGTGCAGGGACCACTCGGGGGCCGTCCTCCTATAACTTAAAAACGCCCACGATATGACCACCAAATTTACACAGAAAACTGTATCCTTGATTTTTAAAATCTAGGCATAATTTAATTGATTCAATAACGGTTGGTTGTGACATAATTTTGAAGTCATATTGTTAAATTTATTGGCTGAACCCTCTTTTCACCATTCTTTCTTCAAAAAACATAAAAAGGAAAAGATTTAAATAGGAGCGAGTCTCGAGCTCATAAATTATGAAGTCGGCTAACACACTGATAACCTCTGAAAACAGCAAGATACGTCGCAATGACGTCATTTATAACAAAGAAGGAACGGGTTCTGTTTTGGACCATGCACTAAGTATCAGGCGCCGGTTTTGGAAACAATACCCCTGAATAATGAGACTCCCTCAGTTGTATACACGAAATTACCAACGAAAAATTTGCAAATTGTAGCCCTTAGTTTAATGCCATACAAAATATCAATAATCTTGAAACTCAAAGGTTGTATAAAACGACGGTTAAACTTGAGAATCTCAGTCTCTGGTTACCGTTCTTAAATTGGGATTCATCATTTTGGAACTTTATCAGGTACAAAATAATGAATCCCAATTATTGTGACTTTGAAGGCCAACGTTCAGCCAAACTTCTCTGCCCGTCACGATGAGTTAACCCTCGGACGATTTTACTTTTAGTGGAAAGCCTTTGATCTTCTTACCAAGATGAGGTATATTTTATGGGTGACGGCACTGCTGGAGGCCTGTGACGTTTTGGATTTTACCAAGAAGCAGAAATCAGGTTAAAACCGCAAGGAATGGTAATTTTTGTGCTTTACATGAAAAATAACACATACATAAACACTTTGCGGGATTTTAGCCACAAGATTTACTTTTATTGTTGAAAGAATTTGAAAAAACATGTATTTTCACCCCAAAATGGCTTGACCACCTGCTACTTAGCTCGTAACCATAGCAACTGAGCATCACTAAACTTTTCTCAAAAAGTGCTCTGGGGATGAATGAACAGCTACTGAAAACGTCGGGTGCTGATGTTTTATCCTCTAGGAAAAAACTCTGAAAAACCTTATGGAAGAGGGGGAGGGGGTGGATGCCACCCCCCCCCCCCCCCCCCCCCCTCTTCACGCGCGGGTGCAAGACGAAAAAATCAAAAAAAAAAACATTTCCATAGACTAATAAGTTTTTCTTTTTATTTTTTTGTTTTTTTTATTTAAAATATAGCATTAGTCTTTTTTATATGTTTAAGAAATAAACAACAGAAAAATAAAAGATAAACAGCTACGCCCACATCAACCTTAAGGGAGGGGGGGGGGGGGTGGAGTCCCCCCCCCCCCCCCTCCCCTTCCTTGTACGTCCGAGGGTTAAAACAGAAAATGGCCAACAGATATCTCATTCAAGTACCTTTAAGGTTCTTACTGTTATGTTTAGGTTGTTTATAAGAACAGTATACCTATCAGCTGTTTAATTTTGGAACAAAAGTACAAGCACGCAAAATATGCAGATTACCGACGTCACATGGCCTTTTATCCAGCAATTACGAAGTGTTTTGTATTTAATCTATCAGACCTCGAATGGTAACCTAAAGATTTACTTGCCTGCTTGACAGGCTTAGAAAGGGGAAGGGTAGGAGCGAATACAGCAAGCTAGAGAAACAAAAAGAGTGGATATTGGAGAGAAAAGGAAGCTGTTCTGCATCCTTTTCGCTAATTGTTAGTGTAGTATTATTTACGAATATACATTCTTTCCGTAAGCTTTTAATCATAAAGTGCAAAGTTACGATAGCCACCTTTATCAAAGAAATTCACGATTTCGTCAACATTCTTGTCCTATTAAAGAGAGTCAAAGGGGAAAATGTTAATAATGATGAAAAAAAGAACACATGACACTATGTAACGAGTTAGTTTAGAACGCATAGAGATAGAGAATAACCAATTAACTGTTAATTAATTATCAAAAACTACATATATCACTACAAGTCGATTTAAGTCATTACTAAATTATTTTAATATTCCTTTTTTTTTTTATCTCCCATTTTAAAAAAAAGACAAATTGAGTGAATTGACCAAAATCTGTTTATGATTAACCCTGCTGACGGCCACCTCACCACATTAACATTTTCAGTTTATTCAGAAACTTTGGTTTCTGGTCTATGTTTTATTTTAAGTTTTAAGTGTTTTGAATGTGTTAAAATATCATATGTGTTTCAAACTAAAACGTTACGTTATTCGCCATCTACAACCGTAGTGAGAAGGTTTGATTGCAATTTAAGAAAGCTCTCCCTGAGTTTTTTTGTGTTGCTACAATTGGCCATCTCATGCATTTTTGTAGGGAAGGGATAAAAGAAAAAGACTAATTCAGCTTCAGTTTTGTTAACAAAAAATAAAGTAATCATAAATACTTAATCAACGTGCCAGTTCCCTAAGTTACACTCAAATAGACTAATTGTGGACATCTAACTACTTCTTTACACCCCAAACTTACCGACATATTTCAAACCCTTTCCGCCCCCTGTTACACTTAATGTAAGTTGGCACTACTAAAATATATAAAAAATGTACTTAAAAAGTATAAAATAAAGAAAACGTATCCTAGGCGTTGCAGGGGTCATATAAAGTTCTTACATTCCTCTGAAAGGAGGTTCTCAAAGTCCACTTTTTTCACCTTGTTCTCTAAAGAATTAATTATTACTGAATTCTGAGTGTACCCACTCGGTTTGGACAATGTTACTAGACCAATATAATATGTCGAAGACTGTGTTTTCCACAGATAGTTACATTTCATAGCTTAGGACTCATACAATCGCCCGACTGATTTCTGTTTGTTTCAATGCACGAGCAAACAAAATTTATTCACAATGAGAAAAGGCGATAACCTTATTGTTTTGAAGATTATTTTTTTATGTACCAGACTTACGTGCTTTCTTAGGGATTTAAACCATGGTGTAAATTGTTCCACTAAAACAGTTTCCTGTGCAGCCGTTGTGTTCTCTCTGCAAAAGCGATCTTCTTCATTCTGCAAATTGGATTCTGACCAAAAGTGAAGAGACTCTTCTTCTTTACAACTTTTAGAGCAACACTTGCCTGGTCGTTGCTCACAACAAACTGGGCAGATTACACTAAATTCGTATTCCATGGTATTCAACCAACAGCACTCTTTACGCAAGCTCTTGAGCATTGTATCCAATTGAAGTAAAACTTTATCACCAATGTCCTCAACCGATTCGTCAATGGCGGGAGTGTTTGGATCTCTGTAAACAACAGTCTGGATAGAAGAGGAATGACAGCAGTATATTACTGAGTGGCCTCTAGGGTGAATAGGAAACCTGGCAAAGTTTTGGTACATATCTTTGTATTTTTCTTGGGTGCACAACTCAAGAGACTTAACTACCAGTCGTTGGAACAATCCTAGAGGCACTTGAACATATTCTTTCCTAGACGGTCTTTTGAATCGAACAAAAAGAGAAGTAATAAAAGAATCTGAAAGAAGTTTGTTTGCAGCATCATTTGGGGGGGACATCAACATGGATGGTACCAGATATTCCTTTTCATCGCCATCTGAAGGCAAAAGACACAATAGACTGAATTTCTCCATAATCTCGATTAGGTTCTCTTTGGTTTCTTTGTAGGGTTCCCATACCACTCAACAGTTTCTCATCGAGAATACCTTTCTTCTCGAGCTTTTCCCAGAGTTCTTCAAACTGCCCCTCATTTGCTGTATGATCATAGCTTCTGACCGTGATCACTTCCCTAAACAATTTAATTAACTTTTCGGGGTCTAAAATGACCATTTCTTTCAACTTTGGTGTTTCATTAAAATGTATTAAAATTCTCTGATCGTGCATGAAGTTAATTGCAGTGTCCATTTCTTCCTCATCAACCATTTCACACTTGTCACGTGCAATTTCCCTGGCTTCGGCGAGAGTAACAAACCACACATTTTCCCCTAACTTGCACTTGAGTGCTTCTTCAAATCGTAACCAGTTAATCGGAATGGTCTGCCTTTGCAGAAGCTCCTTAGCAAGTGCAAGTAATTCATTTCTTAACTTTTGGACATTCTTGCACTCATCGTCACTGCCGGACTTGGTGTTGTCCACGATAAAATACTTCGAGAACAAGTGTTCTTTGTATGGCTTTGCTTGTAGAGAGCCATAAATTTTTCTAGCTTTTTCTTCGGCTGCCTCTCCTGCGAGATCAGCATGGGTACACACTAAGATAACCAGGGGCAGCTTTCCAAAGCTTGAGGGCTCAGAATGGCGTGTTGTTTGGCTTTCTAAAGCGGACACGGAAGACAACCAAAAGTGAAGATAATCTTCATTGGTCTTTCGGCAGTTACTGTCTTCCTTCCGCTCAAATTGACCTTCCTTTTCAATGAAATCGGCAGTGACATGTGGATCTTTGTTAAGATCATACACCAAAAGATAAATCGCATTTCTAGTTAGAAAAATTGGGTGTGTGGCATAGTAAACTGACTGTCCACCAAAATCCCAGAGAATGCAAAACACTTTTTCGCCGTCTTCCTTATTGGATTCCTTAACAATTTTGTCAAAACAAGATGCCGTTATTGGCGGAACGTCTTCCATGCGTTTCTTCTTGATTGTTTCTTTTTCGGTCTGAAAAATTCTTTCTGACTGCTCTTCAGTCTTGTCAGCGATGTTTTCCCTTGGTTCTGTTAGAATTTCATTTTTAGCATCAGTTTCTTTTCGAGTTGGACTGTTTAAAGATACAATATTTCGTTCACCTTCTGGTATAGACAAATTTTTCCTGGAAATTTCATCCACCATGAATTTCGCTGCTCTGTTATGGAAAGAAACTTCAGAACCAACACTTTGCTCCATTTTCGTTTCCCCTAAAGCCATGGTCTCTTTTGTCAGACTGAAGTAAGAAGGATCACGTTCGATTAACTTTGTGCTTGGCTCTTCTTTATTGAACATTTCTCTTTTTAAAGACTTCTTCAAACTGGTCTTTCCAGATCGCGCTTGTCCAATGAACATGATTGGCACCCTCATGACACGGGTTTGTCCCTCCTGAATAGCCCTGTTAAAAGCATCGACAGCCAAGGGACCTCTGGCAGAAATTTCAGAAGGGACTAACGGAACTGTATGCAAAGAAATTGTACAAGGATTTAGTTAAGCCTACTCAAAATGACCATTTTTTTATTTTTTAAGTGCCTTGCTGTAGGCAGCAACATATTGGTGACCCTTGCAAAAGCTTCTGCAGGAACAAAAGGAAGAATTTCCAAATGTATTGAACTGATATTAAGAGCAGGTCACCATACTTTTACATTTTACGTCAGGTTTACATAACATTACGTCTACATTCCAACTTTAAACAACAACCTCTCTATATGGAAAACTAGCTGAGAATGGCCGCTAACATCTTCAGCATCAAAGGTTGCACCGTACGTTTTGTCACTTTTGTCAGGGAGGAAGCCCAGTGCTGTTAAGACGTTTAAACTTAATACCATTTTGGCAAAGATAAGTTATGTCGAGGTCAGAGTATGTACTACATGTACGTCATTTCACAAGCGACTCTTTGTGTGCTCAGTCCAGAGCTTTTCCACTTTTGGAAATGTTTTGATCCGCGACCAAAACAAACAATTACCCAATCACGGCGCGAATTTGGTGTCATGTGACTCGAGACTTGTTTTCATTTTTATGTATAACAGCAGCCTGCAAACAGCAGACGTATTTCCGTTCGTCGTTTCTCTCCCACCAAAAAATAACCAATGAAACAAGAGTCGAAAAAAGCGTCTGCTCCCCGCAGGCTATGTAGCCTCTGCCTTCGTGTTGTTCTGCTTGCAGAAGGCGGTCATTTTGCTACAGACGACTGCTTCGCAAAAGGGAAAAATTAGGCGGCCCGTCTATCAGAAGTGCGGCCCACGTCCACATTTCACATGAAAAAGCTAAAATATCGCGAGAATGTCCAAAGGATTTTTTCAAGACCTAAAAAAATTTTCACAAGAGATATTTCAAAGTGAAGATAAAAATAACACCCAAAACTGCCCGAAAATTGACACGTACATCAAGAGAAAAATCTCGCTTTCTGTAACATTTCAAATCCATTGTTCATCACCTTATGCACAAGCCCTCTACCGTTTCTCCTCCGTTGTTGTGTTACAAAAAAGGCGAGCAAAGGCTGCTCAAAAAACGCAAAAAAGAACAGATTTCCACGCGAATTCAAATCTGCTGGATGACATTTCTAACCCGCCATGCTGTGACGCCACGCTATCGTCTCGCTCATCTCCAGAAGTGTAAATCCTCTGGACTGGTGCTCTCGAAGTAAAATCTACGGAATAGTGGGTGATTGTAAGAAAGAGACGATTAATTTGTGGACAGTGTGCCATTTTTAGTTCGTTTGTACGTCTTAGTCGGGTATGAGGAAAATTTAAAATGAAAAAGGATAGGCAAGCAGTTGGTTCACACCCTAACTTACCATTGAGATTTTCTGAACGTTCCGTTTCATCGGGGATTGATTCAACCACGTTGAGAAAATCTGACCGGCGCTTTTTCAGGTTTGGACCTTGAACCCTTTTTTGATGCTCTTTTCCGACTTCATACGCTGTAAAAGGGCGATTGTCGACAGAATCCTGCCTTGAAGGAACTGTAGGTTTAAAGAAGAGCTTTTAGAGGTGGGAGAACACCAGATCCCTCCGGCCCATGGCAGAGCAAAAAGGTCAAGCATAAAGGGCAGAAATCGGCAAAATTCTCAATCTTCGTCTTCCCAGTGGCCTGATGACTCTCATGGAAAACCCAATGGAGCAGGATCGTAGGAATGACCATTATGGTATTACGAATTAAACGTATATCTGATCCTTGACATGAAAACACGAATCAGCAGCAGCTTCGTCATTTAACACTTTTTAAAATATCGATATCGTCTCTGAAAAACTTTCTCGAAACACACCTTTTTTAAAAGCTGTTTCGGAGACGATATCGATGTTTTAAAATTCACTTTATATTTTCACCACTCACTGACTTTGGAATGAAGTATGTCTAAGTGTAACCTGCGTAACAAGCGTTTCCGTTTGGTTTCGGAGCAAAGAAAGACCGAGGAAGGGGATTTTCGGGTTTGACCGCGCGAGAAATGAAACGAGAGCCATTTTTCGCGCGGTCTTTGACTCTCGTTCCTCGTTTTTTGCTCCTAAACCGCACAGAAACGCTTGCTACGCAGGCTGGTCAAAATGCAGTTTTAAGTTAAAATAGACATAACCATGATAACAATAAACAAAAAAAATTGAAATCGATAAAAGCCGAATTTACAATATCTAGACCTGCTGCTGAAAATTGGACACCAGGAGCTTAAAGTGTGGTGTCTAGCAAACAAACTTCCTTGAAAAGTAAAAAAAAAATTGTATGGTTGAATCCAGATAAAACGTAAATATATTTCTAACCTTATTTGGTAAAATAATTCTAAATAACTCAAATTCATCTTAAGTAACGTCCGAATGTTGCTTGATGTCATAGCGGAGCTCTCTCACGCGCTAAGCGCGCAGCGGAGCACCATAAGTAAGATAATTTGGTAAACTATACATCAACAATCCCGCAAGGTATTGTGGGTGGTTTTGAGTTCCCTGTAGGAGAGTCAATGGACATATGTCTGCGAGTGCTAAAGAAAAGCAACAAAAGTAGACCCGACAGCTACAGTGTCAGGGACAATGTCTTGATCATATCCCATATTACCTCTTGGGATTGTCGCGTGTACATTTTTCCGACAACCTTTCTCAAAATAGCTGTATAAAGCAGTTAGCAAGTGTGAAATTTGACATTAGCTTACATGTAAGGGGTGAACGGATCTACGGACGTGCGGTCACTTGACATACAAAATTTATCACATACCATTTTTTTCTTACCCGTGGTGCCCTGCTGCACGCGCTTTGCGCAAGCTCCGTCAGCTATGACGTGTGAAAATGAAACAAGTTTTCCCTTTTATTGTTGATGACAAAATATCGGTGGTGTAATTCTGAAACATAAAGAGTCCAAAAGACTGACATGCACAGAACAAAGTGTAGATGCAGCTGGTCTAGGTCCAGACAAAGGAATAGGAATAATTTTGAAAAGTAAATAGTGAACTTACCAATTTCACTAATGCTAAATGAGGTCCCACACCCCATTTAATCAGGCGTTGCACTAAACCAGCATGCAGATCTTTAAAAAAGAAACACATTATAATTAAGCATTGTTAAGGTAATTCCCTTGAAAAGAATATCCTGTCCACATTATTTTTATAACTTGGCGCAATTGATAGTCATGTATAGGACAGTGAAAAATTGCAATATAAAGATGGGTCACCGTGCCTTTTTAATTATTTCTTTGCATGTCTGTTATTCTATCGATATTTTAAAGGAACAGTATCCCGTTACTGCGCATGCACCAAACTTTGATTTTTGGACAGGATGTCGCGAAATAAAAAGATGCGAGGAGAGTAAGAGAACCTTGAAAAATCCGTTTGCATCGCGCTTGACCGGGTTCAATACGACACTAAAACTTCTCAGGATTACAGATCAATGATATATTGTTCCTGTTAAGTTTCGATTTGGGCAAAATCTGGATTTTTTGGCGTTACTTTTATTGCCGTTGGCCGGAGGACCAAAAGATTGGAAGCACTTTGATGCCGATTGAAGGCTTATTTCTTCTGCTAGCTTCCATACAAGCTCAGATAATTGTGAAAGGAATACGCAGAAATGAAACGGCAACAATAAAGACTGTAAGAAAGAAACCATTGAGACATTGATGTGACTGAGGAGATCTTGTGGAGGGGAGCTTCGTGAAGCAGAATGTTTTGCAACGACGCGTTAGTAAACTTTTAAATGAATCTCCCTACGGCCGACAAAATCAAACAAACAGGCGCTACATGTTTTGAAAAACTAGTGACATGAAATCATAATATCATTTTTGACTAACCTTTGTGATGATTCATAGCGTTGAGATTGCATTTTTATTTATGTCTTTCAAACGTTTGAGGCTAGAACGCGAGCAAATCAGGCAGATATTACTGGACTTGGAGCGATTGACCTCTGACACGAGTTTCAAATTAGAAAATATGTTTTTAAAGCGAGCGGAACGAGATTTTCGGGTCGCGAGGCGGCCCAGCTAGCGATAAAATCGCGATGAGTCTTCGAACCGCGAGCCAAATTTTTATATAAGACGAAAGACTTCTTCGAAAGTCTAAAATATTACTTGAGAATATAAACAACAAATCTCTGTCGGCGGTGCGGTCCGGAAGGAAATCTTGTCGAGTCAATATGACAGTTCTATTGTCTTTTGAAGAAAAAAGAAGAAGAAAAAACAGATGACGCTCACGCGTGCGCATAATCGGGACACTGTCCCTTTAAGGGTCTCTTACTGAGTTGCGCACGAAATGTTCGAAACTTAAACAACCGTCAAAAATTGTCATTATACAATAAAATTTTGGAATGTTAATTAAACCTAGCTCTTATCTGTCTGTATAAGCTATAAACTGAAATTGCAGTGATTTCAAGCTGTCGATCTTGCAAATACATGTAGGGTAAGCGGAAAAACCGGGGAAAAACCTCTTGCGGGAAAAAAAAATCTCTCTTTGCCATGAGCAGCCAGAAAAGTATACAAGGTGAAGAAACCGAGCAGAAACTCTAAATATTAGCTACGCATTTTATAGTGCATTTCGAGGAACGCCCATCCTTACTTTGCCCAGAGCAGATAGGAAGCGGGGACTGTTTAAGGACAATTAAAGCCCCGTCCACACGTATATATCAGGATATTTTTGAACCCGCAACTTTTACTTTGCGAATTCGACTCCGCCCACACGTATCCAGTGAATCCGGCGTACGAATCCGCTTTCCAGAGTGGAAATTTATGAATACGCTATGAAGCCGAAATCGTCTGCACGCTAATTAACAATTATTCCTCGAGGCCGAGTGGACGCTGAGTCAATAGCCTGTACACTTCAATTATGCAAAACAGCGGCTCGACATTTTGAAGCTTTTTTCCACGTCTGGCTGACTAATTGGAAGCCGTAAACAAGTTAAACTAGGGTGTCACTCCAAAAGGACCTGGACAGTCTGCATGGCTGGAGCGATAATTGGCACCTAAAGTTTAACACATCTAAATGTGAGGTACTAACCGTCACACGAATTAAAGCGCCACCCATTTCGCCACGATTACAAGTTGTTGAACAGGAACTCACTTAAACGCGCCACTCAAACCTCGAGGTGACTATCTCGCCGGACTTCACATGGGACACTCGACATTAAAACCATCTTAGCTAAGGCCAATAGGATGCTCGCATTTTTGCGCCTCAATAGTGTTATGTCATTCACTACAGACCATAGGAAATTACTTTATCTCACGTTTTTAAGATCATATATTGGCTATGCTAGCGAGGTATGGGCTCCCCGTACGATCGGTAGTATAACAAAAATAGAGAGTCTTCAACGCAGGGCACCAAAATTCATCTTAAACACGCTCTGGCAAGAGGATATTTCTTATCATTAGCGCCTTTCTGGCCTCAATCTGCTACTGTTTAATTTCAAGTATCGCGCTGGCTACTACACCTTACCCATAGATGATTACGTCAAGCCTAAAAGCACTCGTCTCACTCGCCACAGCTCTGATCAAGACGTACTAATTCCCAAGTGCCGTACTAAGCTCTATCAATTTAGTTGCCGTAAACCCTCTAATATATAACAATTATTCACCGAAGTGGACGTGGCTAGAGTGGTGGTTATTTACCGAGTCGAGGCCGCGAAGCGGCGAGGTTAAATATCCACCAATAGCCACCGATACTGAGGTGAATAATTGTTTTAGTATATACTAAAACAGTGAGATAATTGAGCACAAAAATGATTTTTAACTCATTTACTGTTGCCAACGATTACAATTTTGGCGCGATGAGCGAACCGCCGCGGTCGTGGCTTTCAGTTTTCTTGCCGACAAATAAAACTTTTGAAGGCATTTGTTTAGCTTTTGCGGGGAAGTTTCTTCAAAAGGAGTTGTGAATTCTTTTTGCATTTAAAATTATTCTGTAAAAAAAGATCATTAAATTTAGTTTTAAACTTATTTATGAACAAGTCAACTAAATAAAGTAACGCAAGACTTAAGCTTAATTTGCATTTGTAAACAAAAAACTTTTTCACCGGTTTTATCGATAAATTCGAGTCAAAAAGACAAAGCTTTACCTGTTAAAACTTCCAAACCGAACTTCGTCACCTTCTTCGTGTATTTCGGGAACAGCTTGCTTGATTAGATGTGAAATTTCTTTGTTTGTTACGGCAGCAATGTTACGGCAGCAAACTGGGAAGGCGTTTTGCTCGCAACTTACGCGAGTTTGGCGTCGCTCGCTCGGAGGAACTGGAGGTGAATCAGTGAATAGTGCAGGATATTCACTGATTGAGTAGCCAATCAGAGCGGGCGAAAAACACTATCCACTGTTTTAGTACATACTAAATAGATTTATCCAGGGCTAAAAGCGAAGCTCTCGTTAATATCTATAGTTTACTGAAACAAAATATAAAATTGTGTAATGCTAACAAGGCGGCGACGGCATCGAAAACAGCAAAAACAAAAAAAAAAACAAAACAAAACAAAACAAAAAATAATAAGTCTCATTAGCAAGAAATAAAAAAAAAAAACTTTG